GTATTCGTAATATCATAAAAATTTAGTTAATATTAATTTTTATATAATTAGTATTTTGTAAATGTATATTGGATTTTTTTTTTTATTTGTATTTTACCTATAATTGTAGTCCTCTGCAGTTTAAGGTAAAATGTTTTTTAATTTTTATTATTATATAATTATCTAAATGTAATTAGATACTGGTACTGAATTAAACTTGGGAAAGTTTACGTGATCCCATGAGGTGGTTGGTATTGCGAAGTAGACAAGGGAGATTTTACCATCGGAAGACTTAACAAGTCATCAAAATCGAGAGTTAACAATCACCCACTTTGCCTATTACATCACTMAATTCCTAATGAAAAAAAGCCAATGACACAAAATATACACYGCTGAAAAATTCTTACAACCRACTTCTCTAGTCTATTATGTTCGTTTGATTTTTARGAGTCCTAAAATAATTTTTTCAAAAAATCACAAACATTTCAGACCAAGAAAATTAGTCTAGAGTCTAAACTATATTGCGGAACTGAAGGCACGCTCAGACCTCATGAATTGTTGGGGTCTTATACGTTTACCTACACTTCCACTTTATTTTATACAATTATTAGAACGAAAATAAGAAATGAAAATACTAAATATTTTAAATTTTCAGCAATGGATGCACTCATTTTCTAATGATAATTTATTATATTGTGTGTTTTTTTTTATGTGTATATGTGTGTGTACTGTTTACACGATTAATTATAATATCTAATTTCTATAGTTTCTATAATTATTATTATATTATATAGAAGAAAAATATTTTGATTTTCAGCTTCAATATCTTTTCTGGTAGAAAAATGAATATAGTTGGTACTTTTGGGAGATCAAAATCAAAATTCCCAAGASAACTCTCGATAATTAGATAAACTAAAAAAATTGGAAAACCTAGAAAAAACTGGAATTTGTACAAATTATTTATGTGTACAAAATGTATTTTCTCATTTCGTTATGATTTAAAAAAAACAATCATAGGCACTTTAAAGTTTAAATTTCCATCGAATATTTAAATAAGCATTTTCTAATTTTCTATACATGGTGTAACTTTTAAAATATTTTTTTAATAAAAATCGATAGAAAAAATTGCTTGATCGAAAAATTTGAAAATGTAATAAGAAGTTTATTACAAGTTTTTATTAAATGCATTTAAAAATATTGAAGATACATAGGCACAACTTTTTTTTTTATGAGCATTTGAAGCTAAAATGTTGACAAAAATCTTCAAAATCACGAACATATTTTGTAGCTACAACTTAAAAAAAATTATAGCTAATAGGCCTGGCAATTTTTTTCTCAAAAGCATTTAATGCCGGAACAGAAAATCTTTTTAAATGTGTTAGTAAATTTCTTTTATTTATAGACATATTTTTAAGTTCAAATTATAGATATATTTAAGCGATGAATAACAATAATTATTTGAATAAGATATTTTTTTGTAAACTGTTCGTGAGTGCTTTTWACTGTTTTTACTTATATTTTATAATATAATATTATATATACACAATATTTTCAAGACATCTAGATTAATTTTAAATTATACAGTCCGCTATATACTCATASATCAAATGCCTGTATATTTACATGGTTCTGTGGTAGTATTTGGTACTGCACTGGTGTGGATGACTATAGCTATAATGATATCGTGTAAATATAATTATTATTGTGTTTTGTGTGATTATTTTATTATAWCGTTTGCGTTCGGTGCAGGGGCATGCAGAAAGCGGCCGGCAAAGTGGACTGGAACGACGTGGGCGTCTGCCGGACGTTGCGTAAAACCTACGGACTGGACTCGCGTCAAGCGCGCATTTGCAAGTCTTGGCGTCCAGTCATGCAGCACGTTTCCCGGGCCGCCGCGTTGGCCGTAGTCGCCTGTCAGTCGGTCTTGCAAAACAGACGGTGGAACTGTTCGTCGGTGCGGTCCGCGCCGGGACTCACGCC